CCGCACCCCCACCCCCGCCGCCTTAGGCTGTGGAACGCGTCAGACCTGAAGCACTGCCGCAGCGTCGCCAACGGCAGCAGCTGGATCACCGACGTGACCTACCTCCCCCTCAGCCGCCGCGCGGTGCTGACGTCGATGGACCGGGCCATCAGCAGCTACGACATGAACAGGTGCAGGGGCGGGGCGCGCTGCAGTCATTTGCCGTCGTAGCAGCCAGGACATGAACATAAGGGACCGAGGGCCGGGGCGCCGCGGTGATTGCTGTCGTGAGACACAGAGTCATTGGTTGCAGCCACTCGGGCGTCTTTCGAGCCAACGGATCTGTGGGGTGGGTGGGAGGGGGTGCGTGGCCTCGGAAGTGCTTGCGTGGGTTTGTCGGGGTCCGAGGGGGTGGTGCAATCTTGGGTAGGGAGAGGCGCCATCGTGTTGGACCCAAGAGCACACAAAGATACGCACGCGCACAGGCACACGTGCACACACGCGCACAAGCACGCGTGCACACACACACACACGCACACACGCGTGCACCCACGCACGCACGCACCCACGCACGCACGCACCCACGCACGCACGCACGCGCGAGCGCGCACGCACGCACACACACGCACACACACACACACACATACACACACATACACACGCACACACACACACACACACACACACACACACACACATACACACACATACACACGCACATACAGGGGCTCCTACGACCTGACTGGCCGAGTCTACGCGTCTGGCTCCATGGGTGTGCCCCTGTGCCTCAACGTGCTCTCAGGGGATGCTGGGGAGAGGGTCGTATACGGGGACACAGAGGTGCGTGTGTTTCAGCCAGTGGCGGGGCGAGGCTGCCGGTGTGAGTGTGATTTTGAACTTCAGGGGGGTGGTAGTGGTGGGAAAGGCTAATGGGGTATTGTGGGCGTTTCTGGCTGCACGCATCTGCCCAGCTGGCTGGCCATACCGCAGTTACGGCCCCCCAGGCAGTTCCATAGCAGGTCCGCTCAACCCCGCAGCAGGCGCGCTCGCTGTCTGACGTTCACCTTCGCGCTGCCCCCGGCGCGGCCTGGCCGCAGGGTGCGACAGTGCTGCTGCTGTGTGGCGGCCGGGAGCTGCCGGCGCGGGATCTCATCAGCACCGACGATCACAAGGTGGTTTGAAAAAAGCTAGAGGTGTTTGTTGTTGTTTCAAAAGGGGAGGGGCGATCAGCAGGGCGTCACCCAAGGATAACCTCGGAGTGACGCCGGGTACAGTATGCATGAGCAGGCGTTGGCAGCGGCCCTTTGCTCGTCCGCCCGCAATCACATGCGCTGGACTCCGTTGTCGGCCTCTGGTGCACCGCTGACCGTCGCCGTCACGATGATGTCACTGCAGGACTACATCTATCTGCACCGCGAGCACACGGACTGGGTGACCCAGGTGGAGTGGATCCCGGAGATCGGCCTTGTCACATCCAGCCTGGACACCACCATCAAGGTGGGGCGATGCGTCAGTGTTGGCTGCAGGTATCGGGACGTGGGGGCTGTAGTTCGGCCTTGCTTGGGCTGTACTTGGGGGGTACTTGGGCTTTGCTTGGGCAACACATGGGCTGTGCTTCGGCTGTCCTTGGGCTACACACGGGCTGTGCTTGGGCTGTGCTTGGGCTGTACTTGGGCCAGATGCAGCAAGGGAGCTTGGACAGGTCTGCGTCGCGCCACTTTACAAGATACCCATCACCTTGGGCTGCCGCATGGTGCATGTCTTGCGGCCCCCGACAAAGACAAACCCCGTCCGCCCCGCACCCCCCAGGTCTGGGACATTGCCCGCGAGCGCATGACCCACGTGTGCAGCCACCACACTAAGGGTGTCCACGCGTTTGTGTGGTGCAAGGCGTACTCGCTGTTCGCGTCCTGCGGTATGGAGCGCGACGTCACCATCTGGCAGGTGACGGCAGGGGCTGGTGACCGGGTTGGGTGACGGTCGGGTTGGAGGATTTGCATATTAGAGGCGCCGATGCACGCATCCGACGCGCGCCGGAATGGTAGGAAAAAATGCGTTGGTTATGAGCAGCGAGGCACGGGACGCTGCGAGGCAGACGGCATCATCAAGGCGGGACGTATGCACGGCACACGTGTCCCCAGCCCCCAGCCGCTCTGGCCTTGGTGCGTGTGGAGCTCAGGCGACGCTCCCATCGTCCTCAGCTGCTGCGCCTCCTCACTGTCTTGTTTTGTGCGTGCGTTGCACCGACGGTCCCTGTCGCTCTTTGGTCAATGGCCCCCGTCCCCTCCAATGCCAGGGCAACACTGGGCGCAAGCTGGGTGAGCTGCGGGGCCACACCTCCAGCGTCACCTCCATCGCGCTCGACGAGAGGCTCAACCAAGTGGTGGGTGGTTCCCTGTGATCATCTAAGGGGGAAGGAGTATGTTGAATTGCGTGTGGCAGGTGGTCGTATGTGCGTGTGTGGTGGGGGAAGAGTGCGCCGCCAAACTTAACCGTCCTTACAGCCAACCACACTTATGTGCACATACACGCGCACACACACACACACACACACACACACACACACACACACACACACACACACACACACACACACACACACACACACACACACACACACACACACACA